CAAACCAAAAGTAATTAGGTTCGGATTACCATAAATATGTTGATTTTTTATGGTCATGTTACATGTATTAATTTTATTTTAATATCATTCCTTATTATAACTATTGAATTATATATATATTCTAAAAGTTAATAACTTTTGTATTTTTTATCAGTTTTACATATGTAATATATCAAATTAATCTTCTTTTGATGAGATTCGGTAACATCCACATTGTATGTATAAACAAAATAATTTATATTTATCTTTATAACAATAATAAAATTATTTTTAATATTAGTTAGAAAAATAAAATTATTTATCAATTAATAGATTTATATTTCAAGTAGTTATATGATATGAGTAATATATTTATCAAGTAGAAAAAAATAAAATTATTTATCAACTAGCACATATCATTCTAAAATATATAGTAATATACTTTTTTTGTAAACAAGTAAATTAAATTTAATATAGTTTTCTTATTAATTTTAAAATTTTAGAATAATTTTTTAAGAAGCACCCGTGTAATACACGGGTGTTGTACTAGTATAACATATACACGTACATGTATTGTATCATACTCGTGTCCCGTACTCGTATAAATAAGTAATTCAGAGGCACATAGCCTATTATAATTAAGGTCACATTTACATTTTTATTGACCTTTTAAAGTTGAGTTTTTATTTTATTTTGTTTTATTCTGGATCTGTTAGACAAAATATATACCATGCCAACCCGTTTAATATTCCTAATTAGGATTTATATTGTTAGAGCGCCAAATCTCAAACGTAAATCTTAAAAGTAAGATACTAATGAAAACAATGCTAAAAGACAAAAGTTAGAGATGGCACATAATCTCTCAATTATTATCGGGAAAAAAAAAATTTGACCTCCTTTTCCAAATGTATGGTCGATTTTAGAGTTTGTCCGAACTTTTTTTTTTTTTTACAATACCTCTTATAATAATCGAAATTGACAATTTGTCTCATCGATTGAAAACTTTAATATGACATAATTTTTTTATTAACTCAATTAACGATAAATTTTAACTTGATCTTTAAAATTGACTTAGGGCTTTTAAAGTCCATGCAAGACGAACAAAATGAGGTATGATTTGTCCATTTCTGAAAATTGATACCTCTGTAATCAATCGACGAAGATAGTAGAAGCACGCGTGCATAGAAAAAAATTTCAATTCATGTTTTTTGATAATCGAGATATCCGATTTTTGATTAAAATGTGTCATTTGAAAGCTTGGATGACGAGTTTCTAACGAAATAAACCTTATGAAAATCCAACGGTCGGATTTTTTGCATTTTGCTTAGTAGCCTAAAAAAGCTAACTATTTATCAGTAGTTTTCTAGCTACTGATCAAAATTCGACCGTTGGATTTTCAAAAAATTTACTCGCTCATTAGAAAATTGGTCGTGCAAGCTTGCAAATACCCCCCAATCAAAAATAAGAATTCTTGATCATCATAAAACTTGAATTGGAATTTTTTCTATACACACGTGCTCCTACTATCTTCGTCGATCGATTACAGATGTATCAATTTTAAAAAAATCATACCTCGTTTTGTTTGTCTTGCCATAGACTTTAAAAATCTTGAATCAATTTTAAAGATCAAATTAAATTTATCATTAATTGAATTAAAAACATTATTGTATCATATTAGGGTTTTCAATCGAAAAAGTAAATTAGCAGTTTCGATAATTATGAGAGGCAAATTTTCAAAAAAAAGTTTGTAATGCAAACCCCAAAATCGGCCACACTTTGAGAGGGTAAAAAAAATCCATTATTATTCAAAAAATGCTACAATATGTACTTATAACATTACTCATTATATTACTGGTAACATGTTGTTATACATGAAAATCGTGATTTGTTGCCAAAAACATTACACATTTGATTAGGTGTATGATAGACTTGGATAACAAAACCCAATTATTTGATTACAAAAAATCATAACTACAACAGGTAAATGAGGCACTATGTTAATGTGCCACAATTTATGATTATTAAATATTTAATTAATGGCATTAATTGATTTTCTAATTATATTCACACACAATTTAAAATTCGAATTCGTGTACATATTATGCCAGCAATGGTCACCTACCCACGATGTGCACATGTTAATATGTCGGCTTATGTGGCATGCACACATTGGTGATATATATCAACAATGTGTACATGCTACATAAGCCGTTGACATATTAACATGTGCCCACTGCGGGTAGGGGAGCATTATCTTATACTATGCATTTGATTTTTTTTATACTATTCATCCAACTATTCGAGAATATTAATAAATTTAATTAAATTAAACAGTATTACAATAATGATGTTGTTAAGCAGCATAACGATAAGACAATCATATATTTCCGATATATACATGTATATTTTTTTTTTACACGAGGGACATGCTTTTAAAAACAATATAAACAAAAATACAACATTTTTAATATAAGTATGCATTTTTATACAATATTGCAATAATTAGTTGGTATAATTAATTATATATTTTTATTTCAATTCAAATTTGTACAATGATGCAATAATAGTTTTCAACTTGGTCAAAATCTTCATCTTGTGATATAATTGTGTCTCTCCTACTAAAGCAAATGCCTTCACATAGGCTAACAATATGATTATTAAAAAAAAAACAGTTGATGTGTAATTAGTCTATTTATTACATGATAATAATGATTAAAAAAAATTATTTATCATCTATATTGGCAAACTTTAATTAATTTCATGAGGACAATCAACCATGGCCACAAAACTTGAATGGTTTGGATCATTTTACTATTTTAGCCTTGTAAAGACATTGAACTCCATTTTCTCCCATTGTTTTCTTGTGGTAGAAAATGAATGCTTTTGAACTAATTTTATTTAAATCATCAAACCATTATTTTTTAGCAAATTAATTTAAATATGTTAATTTATTGAATTATTTTCCTTTTGATGAAAAAAATTCATTGTATATTCAAACCTCCACTTTACAATACTTTTAAAACTCTGCATTTATACACATTATTTTCCAATTGAATAAGTATGAGTAAAGGATCCATGGCAGAAGATAGAAAGGCAATTTCTAATCGTAATTGTGGACAGTATAATCATGTTAACGTAATTTGAAAAATTACAATAAAATATTATAAGTATCTTAAAATAAAAAAGGAAAAAAATTAATTATGGTTGGACTTTTTTTTATATATATTAAATGTTAACAATATCTTTCATATGACTATACAACATCAAATATTCGTGGGCGATTTTTTTTTTTTTAATTTTATTTTTACGATTTTCTACAAAAGGTCAAGAAAATGATGCACAAACCGCGAAATAAATAAACAAATAAAAAGATGCACATTGATCATTTCGACTGTTTTTATTTATTTATATATAGACAATTTTTATTAATATTTTTATCCTCCTTGCAATAAATAGTACTGTATATCATAATAACTATTATTATTCAACTGCGGTTAGGCAAAATTAATAGATAGTCTCTATATATTATTATATTAAAAAATTAACGGTTAGGCAATTATTTTTTTTTAATAGCTACACATATTTTTAAAGCTAAATGTTAACTCTAAAAAATAATAAACAACGTACATATGCCTAGCGAAAGATTTATTTTTGACAACAAGTTCAAAAATAATATATTGAAGACGAGTATATTTATGTGTTTTATATATATATATAATTCGGTTATGTATATTCTATATATTTTGAAAAGATATGCATGACCTTATTAAGTTGTTTAATGTATGATGTTGGACGTGCATGAACTCTGAAAGGATATGCATGAAGAAAGAATCATCGAAGATAGAGAAGGGTATGAACGGATCTATGTGTACTTTAGAGGTCCACTGTTCCACGCAATATTACCAACATTCAATTGAGACTTCTAGTATATTATTATTTTTAGTTCACAGTTCCAACAATTCTATGTTCCTTCAATATCGAATAATTGAACTCGTTTAATTTTAGTTTTTCATATTTTGTTAAAAGACTTTGTTTCAAGTACTTAGGGATTAAGTACCTAATATTGCTCGAGGGTTTTGATAGTGTGAAGTTCACGAGCCGTGACCAGAGAAGTAGTTGGTAGAATCGAGTGTAGATTTTTATTAGACTAGAAGAGAGTTTTAGTTTTTGTAAGTTCAAACTATACTCTTGTGCACGTTCGGTTTATCAATTAAAGATCTCTGAGGGGAGTAGGATGCTCCCTAAATAGTTTAATTAATCTCTTGTTTTGTGTTTCAGCTATTGCAACGAAAGTAAGATTTACAGATTACTCGTGTTCCAACACTGTTGAGCGCACTCATAGTAAAATACTCACATTTCACCTAGCAACAGTGTTCATTTTTTAATTCAAATAGTATAACAGATCGAACCGCCTAACAGTCTTAGAATGTCTTACACAAATTTATTGTTGTTATTATCATTAATTAAATGTGAGGTATATAATAAGAGACTGTAGTCGTCCTTTTTGGTCACAAAAAAACATGTGTACTGTGTGAACATGGCCATATCCACCCACACCAGTCGCTCCTGCACCCAAGAAGAATCACCATTTCCAATTTTCCTTTCTCGTTCCCAATAACAACTTCACCAGTTCTCTCTCTCAATCTCAAACCGCCCGTTTTTTCTTTTTTTCTCTGTGATTTTTCAAATAATTTAGGCGATGAACCAAGATTACCAGCGGCTACCGCTCACCGGCGGCTCCGGTGGCGACGGCGATGTGGGTACCACCACAAACTCCATATCCGAATCCCTTTCCTACCCCTTCGCGAAGGCGCCCGCTAGCTCTGGCCGCGGGGCGGTCTCAATCGACGTGGCGCCGGAGGACTACGGCAGCGACGGCGAAGACGAAATCCCAGCGGCCCCTCTGGCCGGGGACTGCGGGTACTCGAGGCCCTTTTTGTTCCTGGACATGATATGGAACCTGGCGTTTGTGGCTGTCTCGATTTTCGTGCTCCTGGTGACCGTCAGGGAGCGGCCGGCGACGCCGCTGAGGCTGTGGGTTATCGGGTACGCGCTGCAGTGCCTTCTGCATGTGGGTTTTGTGTGGGATGAGTATCAAAGTCGGGGCCTTGACGGCGAGGAAGACGGCGGCGGCCGTCGTGGTCGGAATTTTCATTCTAGAGGGGTTTCAATTTTATCTGCTCTCAGTCACAAAAGGTATTTCTTAGTTTTTCTTTTTTTTTTCTCTTAGTTTTGGGAATTTTTGATGCTGGCATTACTCTGTTGTTGGTCTTTTTGTTGGAACAAAAATGCTGTTGTTGATGTTACAAGTGCTGTATATGGTGAGTTGTATGTATGACTGTATGCTCTCCTTCTGTGTCTTGTGATGAAGTATATAGAACTAGATTTATTTCCTATTATGATTTTGAAGTTCCATAGCAAATTAGCAAGTATGAAATTGTTGGGAAACTTGCAAGAATACCACCTTTTGTTTTTGTGTTTAGAAAAATGCTACCTTTGATATTAATCTCGGTTGTTTGTTTGGTTGTAATACACACAAGTGGGTATTGTTGTGCACACTAAAGTCAAAAGGTGGCATTCTTGCAGATTTTTCTTAAGTTTCTTCGTTAAGGTCGAGTTTTGGATCAATGTATAAAGTTCTGCAAATATATATATGGCTATCCTTGAAGGCTTGTTTTCTTGAGGTTCAATGAAGCATTACCCCACAGGTGTCAATGTGAAATTGGAATATGAAAATCGCGTATAGTTAAAAATGATTTTCGAGAAGATTTATAAATTTGCCACCTACCGACGAACTATAATAAGCTGGGTGGTGGAAATTTGGGAGTGGGGTTTATTCAAGGTTGAAAGATGAGCTGCTAAGAGATATCAGTAGTTGCATATTGATCTATTCAGCTGTCTTATCAACTGAATTGTGCATCTAGTTTTCATTTTGAAGTATAAAGTTGGCATATGGAAAAATGGGGGAAAGAGTGAACTTCGAATTATAACTATAATTCCCATTTTTTTAAAAAATTTCAGCGTGATAAAGAAGCTAGAGTCCGTTAACACTATTGTTTCATCAGTGTGGTGGGTTTTCGGTTTTTATTGGATAGTAATCGGAGGCCAACCCCTTCTGCAAGATTCGCCACGACTTTACTGGTACGTTTTGTAACTTTATGCATGCCCTCATGTTAATAATCCTCTCTGCCTTGATTACCCTGAAAACAGCTCAATTTTTTTTTGTTTTGGAAAACTGCAGGTTGTCAGTGATCTTCTTAGCCTTTGACGTGTTTTTCATGATCTTCTGCATAGCCATGGCTTGCGTTATTTTCCTGTTGTTGTTTTGTTGTTTTCCGATCTTAGCTACAGTTGCATATGCAATGACTATAAGAGATGGAGCCTCTGAAAATGATATAAAGTCCCTTCCCAAGTATGTTTATCGACAGAAAAATATACTTGAAGATGAAGTGAAACAAGAAGAAGTGAATTTAACGGCACTCCCGGGCAATAGCAGTTCCACATCCGAGCTTTTTCTTAATCCAGAAGATTCTGTAAGCTTTCTTATTTTCCGTTTTATCATATATGATAGAAAGACATTGCATTGTTTTTTAATTTATTTATGTTTTTTTTATTTATATTTTTCGACTGGCTTAAGTTTTTTAACCATTCAGGAATGCTGCATTTGCCTCTACAAGTATGTAAATGGAGCTGAGCTGTGTACACTTCCATGCAACCACCATTTTCACCACAAATGCATCACCAAATGGCTTCGTATAAACGCGACTTGTCCCCTTTGCAAATTTAACATTCTTAGAGGCGATATGATGGTCTAATTTTATCCGGAGGCTTCGAAATCACTTCCGCCGGATCAGGAAAAAATGAAAAGAGTTGAAGAACATAATGCTCACATTTTCTAGCTTAATGTACAGTGGGGTAAAAACAGAAAAATGTAGATCCCTGTGAGAACAGTTACAAGGTAGAGGCGGTCGAGAGGTGCTTTTTTGTTGTTTTTTTT